ATCAAATATCATTTTGTTTTATTTGTTTTTTTAGGATGTTGAGGAAGTATATGCTGGAGACATCTGTGCATTGTTTGGCATTGACTGTGCTAGTGGAGACACGTTCACAAACAAAGCCAACAGTGACCTTTCCATGGTAAGCCATTTAATTTCAAAGCTACTTATCACTAGAATTTTAAAAGTCTGTTTTTTCATGTAGTGCATTTAATACTTCAGAAAAACAACCACAGAAGTTTTCATTGAGTACCACAGTCATCAAGTTAGTGGTGGCTCTTTGAATGTTGGTTATAGCTCTTTGAATGTCAATTAGACAACTGCTGTGTAAGCTAACTCACTTGGTTTTTTCATAGTAAAAAGTAGGAAGAGTTTTGACTATAGTAAAAAGGAAAACTTGGAGGATCCACAATCCTCCCAAGTTTAGCAAGAAGGAAAAATCTCCACCAGATGGTACCTGGACAGTGTGGCTCTGATTCCTCCACCCTGAGACCTGCATCCACACTCGGGGTGCATTTCTAATTGTTACCACTAGCGTCAAGCTAGTTTCAGTGGAGTGCTACTTCCTTACTAACTCAGTAGCAGGAAAGTGTACTGTTCCCTCAATCCCTTGTGAGACCAGACTGTAACATTTAGACTAGACTTGGGATAACAGAACATAACCAGGCTCAGAAGGCAATATGCAACTACACAGTCTGATTTATAGAAACAGTCTGCCGTTTGGAACTCAGAAGTCCCTTTTTATCATTGAGGGATTCTGAGGGAGGAGCATGCACAGGTAGTTCCTGCCTTTGAATTCCCTTCACTCACTCACCTTTTTTGCTTCTGTAGTAGAGCAAATTCTGTTACATTATGGCCATTTGTTCATAAGAGTGATCTCTTTCTTGAATTCAGTAAAGGAAGAGTATGATGAGTCCATAGGTAATTTGCAGTGGGTCATTTACATAAGTACTGACCCAACTCTAACAAATTAGCACTGTAATACTTCCTGCTATCTAATGATGAATTCATGATTTTATAGTTTAGTTTTTTTGTCTATAATATTCTCTAATGTGTGTAGTATTACCTGTTGATTTAGGACACTACAAAAAAGCATAAATCTATACAATTTTTGTTTGAGATCCAGATAAAAGGAATGTTTTCTAAGTATTATTGATAAGACCTTCTCTAAGTACTTCTCATTAGCAACATGAAGTGATTGGTGGTTGTGGGAAGTGCTTACCAAGGCTTTGAAACAAATAGGCCTTGGTTAGAGTCTCACCTTTGCCCTATACTACCTCCTGGCCCTTAGCCAATTTGTTTTACCTTATTTCCAAGGCTTTAGTGACTTTATTTGTAAAATTGGGATAATGCCTGCTTCTCAGAGTTGTAATTGATTAAATGAGGTATCATGGGTATGAAGAATGTGGTGCCCTTTCTCTGTTTGCCTTATCAGTAATTGTAGTATATTTTGATTAAATAAAGTAACTTAGAAGATTGCAACAGCCACCAAGCAATAAGAATTTCACATCTCAGTATTTGGATTAGTTGTAGTGATTATGTTAAACAGGTAAATAAATACATTCATTAATTTTATTTTGGGAAGGGGGAACTTATATAAGTAGATAGCTTTATTTATTTATTAATATGTTGTATTAATATATGTATTTAATGCAAAACACATCAAGATATATATTGTCTAGCCTAAAGACAATGGCTAGTATTTATCCTTTGTTCTGTTGTGAAGTGGCACATTAATCTATCCCTGACCCATGTGGGTCTGTTTTTGAATTCTTCTGTTTTCTTTTAAAAATATTTTAGGAGTCAATTCATGTTCCTGATCCTGTCATTTCAATAGCAATGAAGCCTTCTAACAAGGTAGGAGTTTGATTTAAAGCTCAGTATATCACAATTAAAACTTGAGCTCTTTTTCATCTCTCTCTACCATGCACTTGATATCTTGTAATAACCAGCAGTCTTATGGTCTCTGTTTCCTCTGTTGGTATTGAGATCTTCTTTTTAAATTTACCAGTCTGTTCCTAATGATAACTTCTCAGTATATTTGAAGAAATGGATGGTGTTAAAATACTCACATTACTGTACTTTATAACTCTTTAGTATATTGTTGGCTTCAGAGTGGTAAGTGTAACTTCCCGGATTCAAATCATAAATAACTGAAAATGGGGAGTCAGGGGCATTTCTCGTAAGTTGTAGTAAAACCCCACTATAAAGTACTTTAGAATGTTGAACTGATTAATCGACTCATAGGTTATAATATAGCTCTAGGTTTTGTGGTATTTCTGAGGTAAGTGTCTGAGTATTGCATGGAAAGCCTGAAAATAAGACTTTTTTTCACTTTGAAATATAATTTTTAAGATAATTTTATGCTTTATAGTTTTATAATTGGGTTGATGTAATTTAACTTTTAATAAATCCAAAATTGCCTGGTTAGGTTTTGCATTTTCATTCTTTGCCATAGGAATTAGTCTGATCTTAAACCATAATTTTTTAGTTCTTAAGTTGCCTTGGCATTCATAACAATCATGTTAATGTGGTATATTGAAATTCACTTATTCATACATTGAGTGAACATTTTGTGATTTGTTATACAGAACTTATTACAAAACATACTCTGATGAGTTGTCATGTGTGATATATCACTAACAGCTACTACTACATCTATTTTGAGGAATCTTGAGGTTTACCAGACCTTTCCTCAATATAGAAAAGAGAAAATTGAGGTGGCAAGACATATTAAATTACTGCATTTTCTCAGGAACTTGAGGAAAGGTGAACCTTACATCTTAACCTCAGTAGGATGCCGTAGTTTATTCCAAGTACGTTGTTAAAATTGCTTGCTTTTCTCTTTGGAAGTATGCAAGGTTAGAACTTATGTATTATGCTTTTTCATTCCTAAATTCAGAGTTTATTTAAGACACTTAACTGTTGATAATTTACAATAATGGAGGGAAATCAATGCTTCAATATCCAGAAGGTTTTTTGGTGTTTTGGGGTTGTGTATGCATTAAAAAGTTTAAAGATGTTTGCTTGCTGGAATAAGTTAATTTAAATCAAATAATGAAGTCTCCATGAGTCTCAATAGTAGGGGCAGGCATGATGTTTCTAAGTTGAGAGTATCTGGCTTGTGCAGGAAAAAGGCAAAAGACCTAGAAAGACTAAACTGGGATTCAGTCCCAGCTTTGCCATGCAATAGCTGTGTGGCCTTGAACAAGTCACTTAAACTCTCTGTACCTCATTTCCTCACCTATAAAATGTGGATAATTCTGCCTTGCAGCATTGTGGTTGGGATTTGAGAAAACGTATGCAAAACACATACCACAGCTCCAGGTGTGTGGTAAATGACAGCTGTTAATATTGGTGGTACTGGGCATGTAAGTTTTCTATTGCTGACATAGGAAGTTACCACATGTGGCTTAAAACAACACAAATATATTATTTTATAGTTCTGTGGATCATAGACTGATAACTGTTCTCAAAGGGCTAAATTAATCAAGATATTGGCAATGCTGTTTTCCTTTCTGAAGGCTCTATGGGATCATTTCTCTCCTTACTCAGGTTATTGGCAGTATTCAATTCCTTGTGGTTGTAGGATGGGGGTCCCCATTTCTTTGATGATTGTTGCCTGAGGGCTGTTCCTAGCTTCTAGAGGCTACCCACCTTCCTTGGCTTGTGGCCCGCTTCCTCCATCTTTAGTGCCGGCAACAGCTGGTTAAGTCCCTTTCATGCTTCAGATATCTCCTGCCACTTCTTCCTTCATGGAATCCCTCTGATCCACCCTTCTGGCTTCCTCCATGTTTTAAAGGCACACATGATTGTGTTGTACCCACCTAGATAATTGATAACACTCTCCCCATCTCCAGGTCTGTAACCTTAATTACATTTGCAAAGTCCCCTTTACTATGTAAGGCAGCATATTGACAGATTTGGGAGGATTAGGGTATCTTTGGAGGGCCATCACTTTGCTTACCACATGGGATTACATGTCATCTAACGAGAAAAAAGGTGCATCATACCACATCCAAGCAGACTGTTTTGAAAGGGACAAGTCTCATTGTGGTATTTGCCTATTTGTTGGTCTTAACTATCCTGCTTGGATCTACAATAGTGTCTTGGTAAACATGCTGATTCCTTTGATTATGTATAGGATTTCTAAAATGTAACACAGATTCCAATTTCTGCTTTATGGGCAATTTTCACAAAAGGACAGTTTGTCAGTGTCAGAGGAAAGGGCATAGAGTGAAGTCTTGGACTCTTGTTTTCTATCTTGGTATGGAAAGAAAATTCTTTTCAGTGAGCTATTCCCTGCTCTCTTGGCTGTGCGGTATCCAAGCTCACATTGTTTTTAAAAATGGAGTAGAACTAGATGTGTATCATTTTTATTTCTTAACTGCTGATGTATTTTATTTCATTCAGTAAAGTTTTCTCTAAAATCCCATTGCTTATCATGCGCAGTAAAACATATAGTGATTTTCTTCTTCTTTTGAAGAACGATCTGGAAAAGTTTTCAAAAGGTATTGGCAGGTTTACAAGAGAAGATCCCACATTTAAAGTACACTTTGACACTGAGAACAAAGAGACAATTGTATCTGGAATGGGAGAATTACACCTGGAAATCTATGCTCAGGTAATGAATAATAAGGAAGTTAAGTTAAAATCAATTTATTACTATCTGTTTTGTTAAAAGTCAATAATTCTCAATCTAATGTCTCTAACTAACTGGTTTTTCATCTAATGGCTCAATCTAATGTCTCTAACTTCACTCTGGTTTGTATGCAGATGTGGTCTACTGCTTCCGCTACTATGTGTTACAAAATAATTATTTTTGATCTCTAAATCTTTTTATTTGTAAAATGTTCTAGACCCCTAGAATCAAGGCTCAGGGGATTTGCAACAAGAATATCTGTCCATCTCCAGGTCATGGTTAACTGGGTCAGGTAAATCCTGGTTCAAGCCTTAGGGAGACAACCTGCGGTTGTACCAACTCTTCAGGCCATTTCTTCTCAAGTCAATAATTGAAGATCATTATAATATAGATAAAAGGAAGGTGGGGCCTATACCTTCCCAGGAAAGGTCTTGTATGTATGGATATATAAGTAAAAAACAAAGGTATGTGATTAGAAATTTTGATGAGATCATATCTTTGAAGTTGAGATAGAAAATCCTGACAACAGATTTATATATTATTCAAATGAATATATAATAATATGGAACAATGGTGACGTTTTAGTGGGTAGATTAATTGGAGGTAAATATAAATTAACCAATGTAATTTAGAATTCATTTATATAAAATCTGTAAAAGCAGTTTGTATTAAGTATCACATACCTAATCCTTATAAAATACTAAAATGATTTAAGATTTGTTTATCTATTATATTTAAATGAATGCTACTAAGATATATAAGATGCTCAGGAGTTTTTCTTTCAGTTTATTTTTTTAAATTTGAATAATATTTTCCCCACTCTTTTTAGAGGATGGAAAGAGAATATGGCTGTCCTTGTATCACAGGAAAGCCAAAAGTTGCCTTTCGAGAGACCATTACTGCCCCTGTCCCGTAAGTATGCAACGTAATTAAACATTATGAGGCTGAAATTGAAGCTTTTTATTTTGGATATACATACCACTATTACTGTCATAAAGACATTTTTATATAGGGATACTTTGTATTATGAATCTATAAAGTTCTATACCATAATCAAGACATTTATATAAAGTGACACTTTGGGATTATTTGACCTCATAAGCTAGATGCCAGTGAAATTGGCGTATACATCATTAATAGACATGTTTACACTTCCAGTGTTAGGGTTTTTGTTTATTCCAGTTGTACTTCCTTTGGCAGACGGCTGTTATGTTTTACTTTAGTGCCATATTGTGGATGCCAGAGAACTTGCATTTGCCAGGGAATAATCTCCTGCAAGTGAAGAAAATTAATGCCATGATAAAATTCAGAAAACATTTAGGAAAATGTAGTTGGGTTTATGTTTTGTTAGAGATAAAACAGTCTTCGCAAAGAATAGTACTTTTGTTAAATTGCTACAGCTATAATATACTGAAATATGGTGCCTATCTGGATTTACATGAATTCTGATTTAGAGTCAAAATTAATAAAGCATACTTTGGCAATACAGGGAGTCTCAGTTTTCAGAATGACATCAAATAAAGGTAAATTATACTTTACCTGAGATCCTATATCATGAAGTAGAATGGTGTAGTCTAATTCAATAAAGTCATCATTTCTTTGCTGTGACAAAAAATAAAAACCTGTTGTTTAAAACTTAATATCATTGGCAAAAAATTACATTTAATTTTGAAAATCATCTTTGATTAGTAGATGAATATAATATTTATATTTAGGTAAAAATAAAAATTGAATGTCAGAATTTCAGTTTAATGTGACAGAAAATCTATTCTCTTACACTAAATAAAGTGTTCTTTCAAGATTCATTTTAAAATCATGATTTTATATTTGTTCCCCAAAAAATGTTTACCTGTTTTTAGTTTCCAAGTTGTGGTAGCTACTTAAGAGAATTACCAAGTGTAGCTTGTTATTTAAGAACCCTTCGTGTTTCTATTGTACAGAAAAGCATAATTTATGGGATAAACTGTAGCAATGGGTGTTTACATTGAAATAATACAATTTTACAATAGAAATTTTCTTTTTGAAAACTGAAAAATAAGGCCAGGCACAGTGACTCACACCTGTAATCCGGCACTTCGTGGGGGCCGAGGTAGGCAACTTGCCTGAGCCTAGGAGTTTAAGAACAGTCTGGGAAACACAGTGAAACCACGTTTCTATGAGAAGAAACAAAAAATTAGCCAGGCATGGCTGTGTGCGCCTGTACTCCCAGCCACTTGGGAGGCTGAGGTGGAAGGACCGCCTGAACCTGGGAAGTTGAGACTGCAGCGAGCCATGATCACACTAATACCCTCCAGCCTGGGCAACAGAGTGAAACCCTGTCTCAAAAACAGGCAAACAAACAAACAAACAAATGAAACCAGAACACCTGAGAATAATAAAATGTAGTGAGTCTAGTTATGTGATTGTGTAATTAAGCTTTTTTCTGTACTGTACAGTAGAGGGAAAAAAAAATTTCAGTATGGCATGACTATAGTAAGTTGAACACAAAACTTAGATTGCTAAGGGAAATAGTCTGTATTAAGCTGAGCACAAAAGCTAAATGTCGGATTATAACTCAAGACTTTCCTCTTCTGAAAGCATAGCTTTGCTTGTGACTGCCATAAAAAGTGGCCCTGAGGATCTTTATAGAGCAGATTAAAGGTGAGGAGAGTCATTACAATTGTCCCTTAGTATCCATGGAGCACTGGTTCCAGGATTCCCCTCAGATACCAAAATCCACAGATGCTTAAGTCTCTGACATAAAACAGTGTAGTATTTCCATATAACCTATGCATACCCTTTCATATACTTTAAATCATCTCTAGATTACTTATAATACCGAATACAATCTAAATGTTATGTAAATAGTTGTTATATTAGGGAATCATGACAAGCAAAAAACCTGTGCATGTTCAGTACAGATGCTACCATCCATTTTTTACCCCAAATATTTTTGATTCTCAGTTGTTTGTATCCATGGATGCAGAACCCATGGACAGAGAGACCTGACTGTATATTGTATACCTGGGATTCTATCTTGCTGCTACTAATAAAACTCTCTAAACCTTTTTGTTCTAGAAGAGGGTTTGAGTAAAGTATCATAGTTAAATCTGACTTGACTAACCTGAAAGATTAAGAGCTACAATTACCATGATGCTTTTTGAAAGTGCAGTCTAGATACTGTGTATTAATAGAAAGTGTTTCATTGAAATCCTTGGCTTTGCCTTGCTATTGTTATGCTTCCTAGTCAGTATGTTCCCAGAGAATGCAACTAACCAAGCACAGTTATTAGGCAAGTTTGAGGCACAGGAGTCCTGTGGTTTGCATCTCTCAGCCAAATCAAACAACTTTTTAGACCAGTTACTGTTGCTTTGGACTCTTCCTACAATTCTTCACCTTCTCTAATCTTGATTGTAACTGACCTCCCCTTTGAAATCCCAGGTTTGCTATTAAATACAAAATGACTATAGGGATACTGTTTATCGAATTATGAATTACAATACTTTCGATAAATATTAACCCCATTAATAGTGTATTTTATAGAAACTACTTACCACTTGCTTGACAGTTTGAATTTTTACCATTTTATACCACGTGTCTTCGGTAGAATTTTGCCATATTATATAACCACAGGCAACCCAGGCTAAATGTAGAAGGAGCGTCATTTCTGGAGATACATTTCCAAAATTGTCTGGTAGGAGAAACATTTATATGATAATTATATATGTAGTATTAACCTTTTAAAACAAAATGTAAATTCTAAATCATGTCTTAGTTTCCTTCAAATGTGTGCAGAAAATAATTTAATTAAGCTATGGATCTATGAAATTTCTGAGGCCTCTTTTTTGTTGGACTAGATTGGAGATGAGTATTTTTGCAAAAGCCTGCATGTTTCTAACATACTTAGCAACTAACAATTTTAAGCATAGATAATTGAGATTGATTTTAAAGTTGAAACAAACAAATGATTTTCATGCCATATTTATGTATATACCTGGAATATTTTGTGCTTCTAGTGGTTCCTTCATCGACTTGAGTCTTTGATAAAATGTGTTGTCTTCTTCATCTGGATTCTTTCCAGTTTCTCCTTCAAATGTGAAGTTGACTTCTGGTGCAGTTTCTTGTCCCATTAAAGGGTAAAGTACTTCAGCTGTGCAGTTCACCTTAACTTGCTGTTTGAAATTTAGCAAAAGATCCTTATATACAGGAGGCTATTCATTATTAATTATCATCTTTGAGATATGATTTAAAGCATAGGCCCCTAATGGTGTTGTTTTAGACTAGACTTCAGAGTGCATGTTTTCAGAGGTATCTAACTGGGCCTGGCCTATTAATATTCTATACTTATCATGTGAGTACCCTAAAATAGGTAACTTACCTTATAAATGATCTTGTAAAGTCTAGTCTTAAAACTGAATATATCTCAGTATTAATGGGGTGTCCACTTGCAAGGCCAGATTTTAGTCTGACTTTATATACCAACTCAAGACTCTGGTTACTTTTAAAGTTTTTCCATTACTCTTACTCCTTGCTCCTGAAATAACATAATTTTTTTCAAATGCAGATGCAGCAGTCTGTGTCTGGATATAAAATTAGAAGATTATAGCATTGGGTTATGCTTTGTAAAGATGGCTGTCTAGCAGCTCAGATGCCTTTTAATGAATCTCCTTATGAATTATGCTCAACAGAAAGGCAAGCTTTTTAAAATTTCAAGATGGCTGTGGTACAGATTGCCATTCCTTTCTTTGAAGTTTGTCTCATTACTAATTTGACAGTTGTGTATAATCTTTAAAATTTCCCTTCCTTATTACTGGAGGATCTTTATATGAATGGTGGTATCAGCTGGCATTCTATTGCTTGTGAATATCTAAGAACACATTATTTCTCTAAAAACCCAATGAAAAACAGAATGAGAAAAGCAGACGTAAGAAAGTGATTGATTGGGGAGTAAATTACTTCACTCATTTATATTAGGCATAAGTGCTGATTGCCCTAAGAGTAAGGAAATTCATTTGAACTGAAGTATATAGTCTTTTTCTGTGTAGGTTGGTAGAAATAATTCCCATACCTAGGAATACCCAACGATAGTAAAGAACTGATCCTTGTAAACTTTGCCCATATGGTAATTTTTAGAGGCAGGGATTTCACAACAACTTTTTAAAAAGAGGTAAAACTAATCAGTGTTATGGATTTGATCAGCAAAAATGATCTGGAATATTTGGAATTAAATTTGATTTAATAAGGATATTTTGGCTGGGCATGGTAGCTCATGCCTGTAATCCTGGCACTTTGGGAAGCAGAGGCAGGAGGATCACAAAAATTAGCCAAGTGTGGTGGCATGCACCTGTGGTCCCAGCTGCTGGGGGTGGCTGAGGTAGGAGGATGGCCTGAGCCCACGAAGTTGAGGCTGCAGTGAGCCATGTTCCGCCACTGCACTTCAGCCTGGGTGATAGAGACCCTGTCTCAAAGAAAAAAGAAAAAAAAAATTGACGTACTTTTTGTATAATTTCTTCAACAGCAAATTTAAGGCGATACTTATGTCCTCTTCCTGGAATATCCTAAAATTAAACAAATGTAATGGAGACAAGAAAATATTATAACAACATTATACTTGCATTTTTAGAAGCATCCATCTCATTTGGTTGGAGGGGCTGGCTGAAGGGGAATGGTGAAAGCCTTAGATCTTGAAAAAGGCATGTCACCATGAATGTAACATCTAATCTAGCAAGTCCCCTGTCAGGTTTATTTTGGATGAAAACAAAAGGGTAGGATAAAAGTATACAAATTGGGCACAACTCACTTTCAATCATCAAAAGACTTTAACCTCTGGATCTGTGATCTTAAAGTCTCTACATAAATTTTGAAACAGTGTTTAATTCTAAAGATGACAAATAGTGTCATCTTTGAAAAGATTTTTCAGAAAGCTCAGTGTA